GCACAAATCTTAACCGCTCGACGTACGGTCACGATATTCGAGACGTGGGGGGGGGGGTAATCCGAAAACGAGTTGGGATTTTGACCCCCAGCTTCGACTCAAAAGGTTACCTGACACTTACTCTTCGCATGTCAGCAGAAGGGACATTTCATGGTCCTTTCAATAAAGCCATAAAAATGCTAGGTCACCGCTGAAACAAAAAAGTTTTTCAATCGCTCCGTCAGACCACGTCCTCAGAAAATGTCTAAAATCTGCCCTGTGCCCATTGACCTTTGACCTGTGACCTCCAATTTCGGCACAGTGATGGCTTTTCCTACCATGATGCTATACACCGACTATCACGAGCCTAGGTCAAGCCGTTTAGATTTGTGCCGCAATTCTGCATTTCTCCCTATACCTTAAGTTAAGGAGTCAATGTTCCCCCTTCTTTTACACCTCTTGACCTTTGACACCCTCAAGAGGAGGGTTAAACATGGATTTGTTGACTGTTAACAAAGGAGTGAACTGCTTTTGCTATTAGAGTCCCTCCCCCCACCCTCCCCCACCCCTCTCCCCGCCCCTTCTCCCCACCCTCCCCCACCCCCTCCCCCCACCTTGCTACGATTATAAACGTAAAATTTCAGTCGTGCGTAGTACCACATTTGTTAGGCGCAGATATGCAGACACGCAGTTGCGTACACATCATTGTTAGGACACGCCCACTATCGCAGATGGAGGGTAGGGGGGTCTGGGCTCATCTGAGGTCTGTTGCTCTAGTCTATATTATAAATATAAATAATATATATATATATATATATATATATATATGCATATTATACAGTATTTTGTTATAACACATATTATAAAGCTATGTAACAGTATTATACATGCTTTTGTTTGGTGTAGGTTAGATTTACTGTATCCAAGCTGTAAAGTAACTGAAATAGTACTGAGTACTGATTGTATTTTTATTTTTGTTGATAATCGATTATTTAGTTTCATAATCGAAACACTCAGTCGGTTGCTGCAAACGACTGACTTTCGATTATAATCGCTCATCAGGACATCACTAACTCTTGATGTATGCAGCAAATTGCTGACCATGGCGCTTCACACTCTAGAGAAGTAAGCGGGATAGATATTGTTTAGAGCTAGTAGCAAGGTGCGAAATTAACGCGAGTCCGGAGTCGAATACTCCTTCAGGATCAGGGTGCTACAAAAAAAATATTTGTGGGTTACAAAACTGGTTGCCCGGATGCAGTCACTTGCCCAGAAAACATAAAGAAATACATTAAACAAATTCTAATATGAATTTAAAATGGTAAATAACGTAAATGAAGGTCCAACTAGTCAACATTCAGCATTTCACTTAACGCACAGTAGAAAGTTGAACAGCTGATACGAGTTTGTATACAAAATATATTCATGTTGGGACACAGCACGCAGTTTGTTTTTAATTTTTAAGTTGTCAGTTTATTATCAACAAGTGCTGCGGAGCGACAGCGCTCATCTAACGTCTACTGCGGTGACTCTGTGGTGGAGTGGTGGATTCTAGTAAACCCTGTTAGTACCAAATGTGTTCACATACATGCGAAACAGTGGAAGGCACAGGGATGGTATCAGGAACCTTCTCAAAGAAATGTTCGTTGGGATCGTTATGAAAGTTGCCACGAGATGGCGCGTATGTTTAAGTGCTTAAGATTAAAGATGGAAGCTCCCATCGTACGTAGTAGCAACAACTATTTGCAAGACAGAATAGGTAAGCTCTCATCTATTTTACCTACGCAAGCCTACAGGCTGAAATAGAGAGCTGCACCCTGTAACTAATTAACGCAGGCAAAAACTACCAGTACTATCACCACCACATGCACTGGCAGTGGCCACTGGCAGTGGCATACGTTACATGTAACACACTGACAGTACAGAATGCCATAGAAATTATATTGATTTAAGGAGCATAAAACCTTCTGTCAACAAATTGAGCTTTTGAAAATTTCACTGTGACATTGTAGCCTCATACATCTAGCATTAGGACTGTCATCGATGCCCACCTCATCGATAATCGCGATGGATTTGCGTCCGATATCGATATCGAAATAAATCGAAAAATAGCGATCCGATTTTTTTTTTTTTTTTTTTTTTTTTTTGCTAAAATGTAGCCAGCGGAGCATCGGTAGCATTTTTGACTGAGCGCCGCGCCGCCATTATCGGAAGTAGTCCAGGGCGCATGCATACAGAGACAATCAATAACTGTGGTGTTCTATTGTCTCTTGGTGCGTACTGTCTCACGATCTCTATAATAAAATCTGTCTACCGTAAAAGCATGTCTGCTGCTTCGCCATCGCCGCGACGCCAGCGTCAATCTGGTTGATTCAGATAATATATACTTCGCCCATGTTGTATTTAAGCACAGCGATGTATAAAATGCATAGTTATCATAGTAGACACCAAATTACATGAGTTTACTGTACTTTCAACGGCTCATGTTTTATTACAATTATTGAAATCGAATCGCGATCGAATCGGATCGAAATATCGTAAAAAATATATCAATAATCGAATCGAAATAATTTTGATACCAATGACAGCCCTACCAGGCATGTATAGATTCTACTAGCCAAACCCAACAGTCAACATTATTTCTAACAGTAAACAAATCCATGTTTAACCCTCTTGAGGTCAAAAGGTTATCCGACACTTACTCTTCGCTCGTCGCACGAAAGTACATTTCATGGTCCTTACAATAAAGCCCACAAATGCTAGGTCACCGCACCGCTGAAACAAAAAGTTTTCAATCGCCTCCGGGTCAGACCATGTCTCGCGA